GGGCCTTCGACAATTACCAACTATGAAAGCACTAGCCCCACCATGTACGCCAGCCATCATTTGGCGTCATTTAGCACCGGACCTTGCGGGTCCGATACACGCAGCACTTAAACGCCATTGGTGTGCAGAGACAGTGGCACCACCTAGTCACTGGTTGGACGGATGGTTGCACTTGATTCCTAAACCAGGTAAACCTAGCACTCAACCAGCGGCGCTCAGACCTCTTTGTCTCCAGCGCCCGATACTCAAGATAGTTTCCAAGATTCTGACTAACCTCATCAAACAACATGCATACCCCACCCTCGTGTGCTTGCCGCTGCAACGAGGCACCACTGAGTGTCTCCTTCGAGTCTCACAGCACTGCCAGCAAATTCGACAGCTCTGTCGTGATCGCCAAACGGACGACAGTCCTCATGGGTTGTTCGGAGGCATGCAGGTCTCCCTTGACATGGAAAAGGCCTTTGATACGGTCCGTCGAGACCTTGTGCTCCATGCCTTGAACCAGATCAATCTTCCTCCGGATGTTCTGCATATGATTCAAACCTGGTTGGCGCCTCATAAGTACCACATCCCTTTCAAGTCTTTGGTGGGAACCATTGATGCCTCTCGAGGGATTAAACAGGGATCCACAGATGCACCTATCCTCTGGACCCTCTGTATGTATCTCATCATGCAGGAACTTCTTCAACGATACTCACATGCATGGTGGCACGATCACCTGATTGTGTACGCTGATGATGTCCATCTCCGTTGGACACTGAACAGCACAGCTGATGGTCAATGCGCACTTGGAGACCTTGCTCACATCTTGCACACCTTTCGTTCGTATGGTTTCAACATTAATGCTACCAAGAGTGTTGTTCTCTTTCGAGCAGTTGGCAAGGGGGTCTCCAAGTTCACACGTCGCTGGATCAGCAGCAAGGAAGGCCACTCTTCCTGCAGCATGGCCACTTGGAGAACTACATCACTTGCCCAACAGTCTAAAATCAGTTGCGCGTGGACAAACAACAAATGTTTTCATGGTGGTTTCTCTTTAATGCATATACACTAAGTTTGCTACAACTCTGGCCTCAACAAACCATGGAATGACCAGCCACTTCCACCCCTCTTCAATGATCTTGGCAAACTCATGGTCATGAGAACGCAAAGCAGCTGACATTCTGCCATTGGCATCCATCAGCTCTGCAATTGGAGACTTGCAGCCTGAAGCTATAGCCTTGCAAAACTGGGAGAAATGAGATGATGACACTGAAAGGAACCTCTCTCCTCCATGGGGCTTTGCAAAAAATCTTGGTGAGCCTTCCAAAGGCTTTCACTGCAAGCTGTTTGAGCTGCTCTCTTGGTCATATCAGGATTGATTTCAAAGCAAGTTGAATTTTGCAGCAAGGTTGGGTCACAACCTGCTGTCAAAATGATCTGGCCCTTGGCATGAGCATTGTGCACTGAAATGCCACTGCCACCTCTGTTTTGGCCATGCACAAGCATGTCCTGGACCTTGATGGTGGTATAGTAGCAAATCTTTTTATCCAAGAAGTAGCCACAAAGGGCTTTCCACTTAGCCAAGTCACCCACATCATGCTCCAAGATCTGGTTCACTTCAGATTTGATTTCTGAAGTCAACATTCTGCAACAACAGGTTCAGGAAATGAATCACAGCAATGTTTGAGCAATCAATGCTTGAGCAATCTTGAGCCAGTGAAGGTTTGACATTTAACATGTCTGACAGTGTTTGCTTTCATAACTGAAAATGGTAGCAACAAACACATAACCAAATGAACCTGCAACCTGCATGCAGCACAACTCTTTGGAAACTCTCTTGAACATGACAGTCAAAGCATTCATGTGTGCTTGCAATGCTCCTGATGCAATCTAATTATTTAGATAAATTTGAGGTTTATATATGTCAAGTTTGTTGCTCTCGACAATGTCAATGCTTCATGTCATGGCACACACATGCATGTTGTACAATTGTTCTTCAATGTATGTTGTTGCATCAATGCACTGCACCTTGTTGACAAAAGCACACACTATGTATATAGGTTATTTCATTTATACAAAAAATATTTTACTTATCAAATCAAACAAAACAAAAAACAGCTCCAAACAATATAAAATTCACTGTTCCAAAACTTTCTGCTGACCTTAAAATACAAAGCAACAAACATAAAGATTTAATGAAAAACAATAATCAATATAGCTAAGCTGTTAGCTATTTGATAGCTAAGTACTTAGCATCTCCCTGCCCTAAGTGTTTAGTAACTACTTAACTATCCACATAATAAGTACATAGTAAAGGGATAGCAAAATGCATGACCACTTAGCTAACCACTTAGCTAACCCAGCTAAGCATTAAGCTATCTCCGCCACCATTTACTATCCATGGTTCGGAGATAGCTACACACATAGCAGACATATAGGAGATACATCTGACATAGCACTGACATAGTGCAGACATACAACAGAGATAGCACTCTGATAGCAAGTGTCCTAAGCCCTATAATCCTTTAGCAACCCCAGAGAACATCCAAGTTTGAGTTCTTTCCACCGGGCTTGGCACTGCTCGACGGAGAATCCTACTCTTCGGGCGACAAAAATCCAATTGGGGCGAAGTTTGGGATGGCCTTTGAGCTCCACCAGGCGACAATCTGCTTCGCCATCCCATGTATCCCAGTCTGCATGTGGGTTGAGTGGTGGTGGTGGTGGTGGCTGCTTGCGCTTGCGAGCTGGTGCAGGTTGTGGAGGAGGGGTAGGTGAAGGTGTGTCATCTGAGTGGTTGGAAGGTGGTGGTGGTGGGCGAACTCGTGGTCTGCATGGTGCAGAGTCACAGGAGGAGGTGGGGGAAGGTAAGTTGATGGAGTATGTTGGTGGTGGTGGTAGCTGTTGGAAATGTTGGCGGAACGTGGGTTCCGCCTGACGGATGTGGTGTAAAAAGCGAGTGTGGAGGTGCGCCATAATGTCTGTTGCTTGTCGTAGCAGGTTTTGAATCTGTGAGAGCGCCACTGTCGTTTGATGTAATAGAGCATTGGTGTCGTCGTGCGGAGGTGAGTTGGTGCTGCTCATGATGTGGAGGGACAGTTGTGGCAATCGGTTGGAGCTCGTCACAAGTTGCAGCTGCAGCGCGGCGGGGTTGCGGCACGGCAGCTGGCCAGCGACAGCGCGTCGTCACGGAAACATGCAGGCGAATTAGTCGAGCGGAACCGGGCCAAAAACGTCAGGAAAAATGCATCAGGATAAGAGAAACAACGATACTGCTGGACACGTCTCATGTTGAAAAGAAAGTCCGGTTGTCATGGTGAAGTGCACACAGCAAAATCCGGCAATACAAAAAACTTGAAAATTGAAAAAGCTGCGCAAACGCAAGAGTTGCTTTTTTGCTGCTGTGGACGACGGTGAGAGTGTGGTTGGGTGAGACAAAAAGTGGAAGTGGTGGTTGCTGGGAGATGGTTGGTGGTAGTGTCATAGGTCCGGTGGAGTGGAGTTGATGGACCATGCCAGTCCTTTGACAATGGCATGGTCAGGGTGGATGACCCAGCATCTGCCTTTCTGGTGAAAGACGGCGCCGTGGTGTTCGTTGAGTAGGGTCATGGCTTGTTCTTCGCCGCCGGAAGTGTATTTGGCGGCGGCGCCCCAGGCGAGGAGCGTGACGATGAGTGAGTGGGTGTTTTTGTGGAGCTGCCAAGTGTTGTGGATAACGCGAGCGAACTCGCCTTGGTCGTGGGGTTGATTGTGGGTGATGCGAATGCCCTGAGCAAAAAAGCCAGGGTAGTTGGCAAAGTGGAGTGTGCTGGGTAGGAAGCGACCTTGACGTAAAATGTTGGCGATGTTGCCGACAGGGCCTGTATGGCCTGCGTTGATGTGGGCAACTTCTCTGTGGGTGGAAGTGGCACGGGAGACGGATGGTGGTTCAGGAGTGGTGGCTTTGGTGTTGAGGTAAGGTAGTGAGATGGCGTTGTATAATATGGACCATTGTTACCCTTCCTGCCAACATCTGCGGTCTCCAACTCAAAATGTTCAGGCAAATTGAGCACGTCAACGTTCTTGCCCAAATTCCTGTCAAAAAACAGCCAGGCCAATCACTAGCTGTATCATTTTAATAAGGTGTGGAAAAAACTAGATTGGAGAACAACAAAAGTTGCTGTTTGGAGTAAGTTTAGTTTCAATTTAAAAGTGGAGTGACTTTGCGAGAGATTTCAATCGAAAAGAAGGAGCGAGAGAAGTTGGAGTTGGAGTAAAAAACATATCACAATCAACAGCTGAGGCACAGAGCTGTCACTGAACCTGCCATCACCTTGAACCGCTCTACCGGCTTTTGCTTGGAGAGCTTGTCGAACCACATGCCCATCAATTGACTTTGAAAGCTCGACACGATAATTGCAGCGTTCTTGTCGGAACCACTCTTCTTGGCTGCATTCTGAAGAAGGACAGACACGTTCAATGGAGAGTCTTCTGTGCTGCAAGACAACAGGCTAAAGAACACTTTGCAAGTCTGCATCACCTTTTGCATGGGCTCGCTCTGAACAGACTTCAACACCTCTGCTCCTACATGAAGAACCAAGGAGGAGAGGAGACCAATGTCCATGTTCAGAAGAACCTGAAGGTAATCTGCAGGCAGGTCCTCTGTGAGGCTCAATGGTGAGTTCCTAAAAGCGGAAATAGTTTCTCGCAATGGGGCTGGTGGTCACTCTTCTGCAAACGAAGGGGTGAAGACCCAGTCAGATATGTTCCGGCCTATAGCCGTCAAGAGGAACAACTGGTCATCGACTTCCTGGTCCACTGTGCTTCCAATGAAGCCAAAGCACCGGGCACCATCAAACTGCGACTTTCCGCCATACGCAGCATGCACTTGACGTTGGGATACCCAGATCTCTTGATGCACATGCCAAGGATCCCGCTTGCCCTGGCCGGGTTGCGACGGCGCTTCGGCGCCAAGGAACGACGCATGCCCGTGACTCCAGACATGTTGAAGTGGCTTGGGGATCATCTGCAGTATGGAAGGGCCGAGGAAGCTAGCCTCCTTTCGGGCGCCCTCACCTTGGGATTTTTCTTCCTACTTCGGGCTTCGGAATACCTTGATGTCGGGTACCAAGATCCCAGAAGAGGCCTGCGTGGGTCCGACGTCACCTTGAAGCTCAATGGCAATGCCGTGGCGGTGAACCGGATCAGCGAAGTTGACGAAGTCACCCTTCTGGTGCGAGGATCCAAGACAGACATCTACAATCGGGGACAGGTCAGAAACCACTTTCGCACTGCGGAAAAGGTGTGTGTTGTGAAATCCGTCAGGGCAGTTAAAGGTTTGGGACTCCGGAAGGGGACCTCGGCGCTCACTCGCTGTGGGGCAAGTGCCCTGTGGGCACAGTACCAAGACACCTCCCTAGTGAAGCGCTGGGGACGATGGGCCTCAGACAGCTTCCAAACCTACATATGGGAGGCGCGAGAGACGGCACACTTGTTCTAGAAAAAGCGGGCCATTGGGAAGAAGCCAACAGAGCTATCCGGAAGGTTTGGGTTGAGCTGAAGGGCGACCACTTCCAAGATCTCCACGGCGACTTCTTTGAAGGCCTCGTTGCAGACGATGTCCTTGAAAGGGCCAGGGCCAATGCCAGATGGGGTATTGAAGCCCGATATGAAGGAGCCCAAGGGGGACGAGTCCGCTGTGGACCACACCCGAGCTTGAAGCGATCCGAATGGAGCGTGCGCTTCACACACCCTTTGGCCGAGAGAGGATCATCTGGGCATCGGGCGACGCTACCCTGGAAAGGGTCGGAGCTGTTGACTGGTCCAACAAAGAGGCCTACGCTTTGCGAGTCGACCAGTACCAGGCTACTTTGGAAGCCACGGAGCGCAAGCCACAGATGACCTACTGGGTCCGCGGCGCGTTTCGCGCCCGGAACCTCCAGAAGAAGAGCATGAGACACTCACGGTAGCCCTCACAGAGTTACTGGCAGTTGTGCTGCTTGCCGTGCACCAGCATCAGAAGTGGATCGGGAAGATTGTACTTTATTTTGGAGACAACCAAGTGGTAATTGCTTGGCTAGGCAAAAGACAAGCAAAGCATCCCATGGCCAGCTTCCTTCTCCAGACTCTTGCAGCGATTGAAGCTTGCCATGGCTTCTTCCTCCACTCGGCTTACCTGCGGACCTACCACAACGTGGTCGCCAACGCCCTCACCCGAGAGGACGCGAAGGAGGTTATGGAAAAGGCAGGGTTGGAATGCTTGCCCGACCCGACCGAAGACCTGGAACGTTTTCTCGACCGAGGGTGGCAAAGAAGAGAACCGGAAGCAGATCGGTGCCAAGCACTCCAACTCGCGAAGGGGAGACAAAGGGGAGAATGTCTTCAGAACTTACCGGTCATCCACGCAACCCACCTGAGGTTTTTGGATTTCAGTGACCAGCCACAGCATTACACCTCTTCGCTACTCGCACATGGAGCGGCCCATGGTGAAGACGAACCCAATTTGGTTTGCATTTCACTCGCAGGGGAGAAATGGGCTGGAAGGCAGAAACTCTTCCTTGCCGCAGTGACCCGTTTCAAACCTGTGCTGATTTGGGTTGACAGTCGGGACGAGAAGCAAGTGAGCCAGTTAGGAGGCCAACTCGAGCAACTTGGGTACCACGCCCAGGTACACCCCCTCTGCGGCAGAACTTTGAAGGATCAAGTATGGTGGAAGCGGTGGGTTTTGATGGTCGGGTCTGGGCAAGGCAAACCATACCCCCACAACACCGCTGATGCAGAGCCAATCACACCACCGCTCTCGGGGTACCCGGTGGAATGGCTCCTCGAAGACTCCAAAGTACCCAAAGCCATGTGGGAACCTGGAGTTCTCAAGATCGACCCGAGCATGCCCTTTTTGGGGGCCACCAAGCCGAAACCAGCTGGCACTTTCACGGCCCCTGGCAAACCAAGGGCCCTGGTGTGGGACCCATGCCGACCCCTACCAGGGTTACATGACGGATCGTGACAGCCAGAAAGGGATGATCGGCTTTTGCTGATTGGGAAGGGGCCCAACGGCCCGGCTGCACCGAGCCTTAAAACCTCAAAAACCCAAACCCCAACATGCTGAGCGTTCAAAACAATGAAACTTGAGCTTTGTCCCAAGCCAATCCAAAAACCGAGCCAATTCTCCCCAAACCGAGCAACTTTTTCACCAAAACGGAGCCACTTTGTCCCAAAGACGGAGCCTGCTTTTCCCAAAAACGGAGCCTGTTTTTCCCAAAAACGGAGCTTCACAACCCGGGCGGTGGCTGATTTTCCCAAAGTCTGTGGCAGATTTTCCTAAAGTCTGTGGCAGATTTTTCCCAAAGTCTGTGGCGGATTTCCCCAAAACCGGTGGCTGATTTTCCCAAAATCGGCGCACAGCAGGCTGTTCAAGAGCGATCGTCCCCCTCATGGTCAGAAACCAGAGCTGCCTCCTGGTTCTTGTCACCCTTTGCTTCAAGCAGGCTCGCATGGCCAGTGGTTTGGCCCTTGGCCTGTTTCTTCTTTTTTTCTGGTCTCTCTTGCTTCTTTACCTGTTTCTCCTCCTTCTTGGCTTCTCTTTCACGTTTGCGGGCCAGGACTGAAGGTGCAGTTGACCTAGCTTTGTTAGCTGCACACATTGACATCCCTTTGAGCATTTGGCTACTGATGAAGTTGATCCTGTCAATGTGGTGACCTGCCAGCTGAAAACATTTCAAATTGCAAAGTAACCTGCCTGATTTGTGTCCACTCTTCTTGGCAGCTGGATTTGTATCTCCTGGCCAGGGCTGTGAGGGGGTGGGCACTCTTGTTGCACAATTAGTTATTGAATTGACACCTTTGCTTTCACTGAGTAAAGAAACCAAGCTCCTTTGGCCAGCTTCTTCTCCTTAGCCTGTTCTTTTTTTCCTGAGACCATGCAATAAGTTGGCACTGTAGCTCCAAACCAGTCATGCCGCGCATTTGAGGCCCTTGTTCCTTTGCCCTTTTGCCAGGTGTAGGAAGAACTTTTCTTGACGAAAAAACACGAAAAGTCCCGCCTCAACATCAAAGACGTTAAAACTTGCAAATATGTTGAAGAAGCAACCTTGTTTTTACATCCCTATGGCTGTTTTGTTTCTTCCTCTGCAAAGTTCCTGTGCAAAAACCGGTGTTGATTGGTCGTGTGAATAAAAGTAGGGTTGTGCTTCGTCAGTTCTCCCACTCAAGCATCAAAGGCTTGTAATTTGCAAAAGTCAATGCAGCAGTTTATGCCTTTGTTCCTTTTCAAGCCTTTGACAAGTGGTAGGTTAAGAACAGAAGTGGTTTGTTCAGCTGAAACTTCATGAATAAATTTCCCTCAGCCATCTTCACATCCCAAGGTCAAAATTATTGCGAAAGGCAATGCATTCCTTGTCATGCGCATTGTTCTTTTGCATGTGCTTATCGAAAGGCGCAGCCATTGGCTGTCGCCCACCCCCTGTTGCAATTGCAGGACGGTGATACATTCAAGCAGATTGGCAATGCTTTCCAAGTCAAGGGAGAGTTGGCGAACGCAGTGACCTTAGCTTTGCTATTGCCTTTTTTGCTTGCTTGTCATGAGATTACGGTACTATGTTCTTCCACTCAAGTCTTGGTCATGACGGGTCTTGAGCCTTCATGAGGTTGATGACCTCAAAGAAGCCATATGCTCAGATGTTGCTTTCTCTCTTTGAGTTCGTTTTCATTGATTTTCTTCAGACTTGATTGCCGTTTGCTTCAGGGCATCAAGAAGAGGGCGGAACTCTCCATTGTGTCTTTCAAGATTGACATCTACAGCTCGAAGGATAGTTTTTTTCCTGTTTCGATGACGATCGCTTTTTTACCAGTTTGCTCATGGCAGGATGGAAAGTGGATAAAAGAAGAAAAGATGTCGGCAAGCCTTCGCGACACGGATGAGCCCATCACTTGGTGTTTCGTTTTGAGCAGCTTTTGACCATGCAGGGCTTCAAACTGATGTCAATGTTACAACCTTCTTATGTATTTTTTGTTGTTGCCGCCTCTGATTTGCGCTTGGTTCGAGAAACAGCTGTTTTGACCACACTTCAGTATTTTGTGTTTTTCCTTCCAGTTTTAAGGACCGATTGCTATGGCTTCACATTGCCATCAGCGTGAGTGCTTTTCTCAGCAGCGTGCGTTGACACTCTTGTCCAGCAGGTTGTGCACACAGCGGGTGCAGAAACAATGAACCAAAAAGCTGTTCAAGATACGTTTCACTCGGGCAATGTATACGCCCAAGCACAGCCACGAATCCAACCGTGCATCGTGAGAAAAGGTAAGCGCTTGATTTTGAACAGGCTTTCCTGAGAGAAACTTGAAAAGAAAACTGGCGGAATATATAGGGTGTGAAGCGCACGCTGTGCACTGTGTTTGAAACATGTTTACTCGACCCCCACCGCAGGGTGGGCTCATGCTGCCAAAACTTGGCACGGTCCGTCGCGCCGCGCGCGCGCTTCGTTTTCCGTCGAGGGCGTTCGCTTTCGCGTTCGCCGTTCTCGCAACCACTTCGTGGACTTCGTGTACCACCAGTGTTTCCGCATTGGTAGCGGAGCCTCCCCGCCAGGGAGGCTCCAGCTGCGCTCTCCGCACCGCCGAGCAGATCGCCCGGGATAAGCCCTTTGTCACCAACCCCTTGCCGAGACCTTCACACTCCTGCTTGCTGAGTTCTTTGTTGGAGACCCTACGGGGTGGAGTGGTCTGGCCGGACTTTGGCTCCCTTTGGATGTCTGGTCAACGGCACCGGCAACAGCATCAAAGAAAGACATCGGCGCCCGCGACTGGCTCCATGGCGACATCCTCCACGTCCAAGGAGGATGCTACGTTTGCAGACATCCGGGACTCATTTGTTCCTCTGTTCAGCGGGCAGCCATCTGACTATCGCGAATGGAGGCAGCGGATTCAGCTTTACCATCGCAAGATGGTTTTGAGCAAGCGCTCAGCCGAGAGCGTGATCAACGTTGTCTCCTCCTTCAAGGGCGTGGCGCCGCCTCTTGGTCAACATGGAGCGCCCATTTGCCCGTCTTCCTGGATGGCAAGTATGGCACTGTGCAACTGTTCTGGCTGCCGGGCAACACGCCCATGTTGCGCGGTCGACCTATCATCGAGTCACTTGGTATAACCATGGACTTCGCCATGAAGCGCATCCGCTTTGGCTCTTCTGAATGGTGTGAGGCCACCATCGGCCGTCAAGGTGAATATCTCCTCTCGCTCACTGCCGAGCGCGACTACGTCACCTACGACCCGGACCATCCAGAGTTCTGCCTTCGCACCGCTGAGCCAAACATGGCGCAAGAAGATGGCTTGACCCTGAATGACTTCCAGCAAGCAGAACAGTGACAGGCCTTCAGCATGATCGATGAGGTGGTTCAGGACTCCGAGAACGGCATGAAGGCTCTCAAAGGCCACACCTTGAAGACGATGTCCGCGCAACTGCGCGCCCATGTGAACGACCTCTCAGCCTATGTCACCAAGCAGCTGCACCCTTCCGAGACGAAGAGAGTGGTCTGGGAAGTCTACTGTTGGAGCTTCTCGCATGTCTCAAGTGGCTGAGTCTTTGGGCATGACTGTACGACAGTTCTCACTGGAGACTGGCTGGGACTTCAGTCGACTGGCCACCAACAGCAGTTCTTGGACCTACGTGATGAAGAATGTCCTGGCGAAGTTCTTCTCGCACCTGAGTGCAAGCTCTGGAGTCGCATGCAGAGTCTTGGCCGACGAACACCAGCACAGCTCGAAGCTCTTCGTGCTGCCAGGCAATTCCATCATGACCGGCATCTCATGTTCGGCAAGAAGGTGTACCTCCGACAGGTTCACGGTGGCCGGCACGCTCACATTGAGCAACCCAAGTATGCCTTGTCATGGCAGACACGAGCTCTTCGAGATCTCCCTGGCCGTCGCGCAGACTTTGATCAATGTCGCTACGGCTCCATGTGTCTGGACACTGACAACGTCTGGCGACCTGCAAGGAAGAGCGCCTCCATCCTGACGACCAAGCAGGCCGTACAGAATGCCATGACACTCCATGGTCACCGGCAACTTACTCAAGTTGCGCACTTCAGTGAAGCAGGATGCCTTTCGCACCGTTCAGAAGCTGCATCGCAATCTTGGCCATCCTGCGCCGCGCCCAAAGAACTTGAGGAGCTACTTGCTGCTCGTGGCGCCAGCGATCAAGTCCTTGAAGCGGCAAGAACCTATGTCTGTGTTGCATGCGCCAAGTACAAGAAG